AGAAAACATGCTTGTATTTTCATTGAAAGAAGAAGCTGGTTTATTGTTCTTAGTATCAAATATATACTTTTTTTTCATCAGAAAAAATAAACCATTGATGTTAACGGGGTTGGTTTATCAGTCGCTGAGAGTATATTTGCCGTGCTTTACTACTTGATGACGTTCTTGACCGTGTGCAATCTACTTTTATACTTTAGGAATCTCCAACTTATTTGTGTAATAGTTCGACATCACGATCACGGTGTATCGTCAAACTACCATGCCTCACTCTTTCCTTCTCGCTCGCGGCACCGCTATTTGCGGCATGGCTAAATTCTCCGTCCTTGCTTTTCCGGGGGTCTAAGTGTTTTTAAACAGGGTGGCCAATTTTTTCGTGTTTTGGTCATTGGATAATACTAGCCGTGCGTGATTGGGTCGTGTTCAGTGAATCAGCGTGTACAAAGGTGCTCTACACGTAATTGATAATTGTTGCTATTGGTCAGGTCAGGACATAGATCACGTTGCGGTATTATCTCTGGTTCACGCCAAGTTTGCACAGTTGATCCTTTCTCGTCAGTCTTCCTTTATTCGATAACTGTTAGTATGTTTCACCTTATAATGGTGACATAACGCTACAAACACAAACCTTATGAACAATTTCTTTCTTTAGTATTTAAAGCAGCATATGTTTACATGTTTGTCAGTTATCAAATGCATAATTTAACACACAAAGCTTGCTTAATCGAATTTAATAACTTTAATGAGCATGGTTCTATCCATGTAATGGAGTCATAAAGATAACAGGAGTCAGATTATTTATTGCTAATAATATTCTAAATAACTAAATTTATTTCCACATCAGGTAATTAGGACCTTTTCTGTTAGACATTCTAGTTGGTTGGTTGATTAGATTTTTTTTGTGCATATCGATATACAATTTTTGATTATGAACTTGAGACTTAAAGCACAAAAAATTAACTTGAATAATTATTACCTCTGGCGCAATGCTCGAACGCATAATCTCAATTTCTTTCTCATTCGTCTACATATTTTTCAAATGTCCGGAAACAAAATTAAAGCATGAATAGCAAAAAACAAGTTTCAAGATGGCATAGAAGATAATGAATTTCTGGCGCACCAACTATATCAAAAGTTGTCTGCACGGACATTCAACGACATCAAAACTTTTAAACATTAGCATTTTGTGGTCAGAGAAAGGCGATTATCGCATTAAGTTTTAGTTCTAGATTTGAGAGATTACACGGCATTTAAACTTTATTATTTTTTTATTCGTGCTTAATTAATAATATTTTTTGACAAAACATAGAAACATCAACATGCATGGGAACGACGTGCTCTCGACGATGAATCGATCGTGCTTTTAGTAAAAACTTTTTTAAATCTTCGCTATATTAGGTTTATTGATAGATTCATTATATTATGAGTTCGTCTTCATTATATTATATTGAGAGTATCTTTGTATGAATTTCTTTGTATGGCTTCATTATCGATAATTAATGTAATAGCACTTGTATCTCTACTTTCTGCAGTGAAAAAAAAGTATATATTTGATACTAAGAACAATAAACCAGCTTCTTCTTTCAATGAAAATACAAGCATGTTTTCT